CAAAATCTCTGTAAATGTTTATGAAAATTAATAAAATATAATTATAGATATAGAAAAAAAATCTTTAAAAAAAAACACAAAAAACAGCTGCATGATGCGATGACACAACCTGCTTGCTGAAAAGTGAAGCGGACTTGAAACACTGCAGAAGATAGAAAACTGCAGTCTTCAATAAGGATTACATTTCAACATTAAAAACCCAAATAGGCAACACAGGCAATGTTGCACCAACAGACAACATGGCGATAGACGGAAAAAAAGACTGAAGTTGTCAACGAAAAGACTTCCTCTGAGAAAATCTGCTGTCAATGACCTCTCCTTCAAAAATGTGCTGGATGTTAATTTATTTCTTATTCATGGAAAATTGCTGGGGAATAATACTGAATATTTATCTCATTGACTATGGAAAGCATTCTTTCTCTGGCTAGGACTTCCAATATGACATTTAATAGCTGTAGTGTCTTTTATTTCTTATTCATGGAAAATTGCTGGGGAATAGTACTGAAAATCTCATTGATTATCAAAACCACAAACAATTCGGTTTTAAATAAAAGTAATCTGGATGTTCCATAAAAGCAAGGATGATTAAAACTTGTTCTCATATTTTTTGGCCATGTGGCGGAAAACAGATTATGCTGGGAAAGACGAAAAATGGGCAAATGAAAGAAAGACCCTTAAAAAGATGGACAAGTGCGACTGTAGCACCAGAATGGAAGCTACTGAAAACTAAACACAATAAGACAATCTTCCGTTCTGTTCAAATAATAATAACAGCTAAAACTACAAACAACAAATATATACCAAACTACTAAAACCTATCCAAAAAATAACTGCCCAAAGAAGCAGCACAAACTAGAAAACTACACCGACAGCGTCATTTTCCTCCTAACAAAGAAAGGAATAACACAACACTACAAACCATGAACTACCTTTGTAACCACTTAAGTGACCGTCAAGAAAATCAGACAAGAGCAAACAGGATGTTGCAAGTCCTGTTCACGAGGAGACGTTAATCACAACTCATGTATGCTCCAATCATCATATTATCTCTGTTCTCCATAAGGAGGAACAGGTAAGGATTAACCTTACTGACGATACAAAGAAGGTGCCACCATTCTATACTCAAAGAAACAGATTCACATTATAGCTAGGGCGAGTATACATTGTTGAGCCCAAGCAACTCAAAGTTTAGATGGTTTCAAGTCTGTAGTTATCTTTCTTTGTGGCTCTTTAAAAAGATACATATTTTAACATTCGGCTTCCTGAAAAGAAAGAAACAAATTCCTCCCACAATGCTCCATTCACCAGCCGCTGGAAGCATGACCCACGCTTTCCTCTTATTTACATATCCCCGCCCACTTTCTTCCGCCAGACTTCTACCGTAATCAAAATAAAAGCGGTAGCTGCACTCCAATAGTCTGCAAGGCCGGAAAAATCTCATTAGTTTATTGTTGTGTACCTTAGAATCCTGGAGTGAGGATGCGAGACACCCAAGCGTTGGGGACTCTCCTTCATAGGGTCGCTATGAGTCGCCTGAGACTAGACGGCACTTAACAACCACCACTACCACTTTAGAATCGGAACCGACCTATAGCTGACCCTAAGGTTAATCACAGAGGAAGAGAGTGCCCATTTGGCCACCCAAATTCTGCCCTGAAGTTCCTATCATAAATCTTCCTTTTTAAAATATTTTACTGCATTTTAGGTGACAGTGTACACTGCAAGTTTGATTGCCATGTAACAATTTTTGTACAAACTGTTCTGTGCCACTGGTCACAACTCTCACAGTGTCAGCACCCTCATTACACTATTTCTAGTATTTGTGTTACCATTATCGAACTTTTCTGCCCTTCCTTGCCATCTCATCTTTGCCACAATGTAAATGTTGACATTTATCTCCTCGAGTCATTTTTTTTCCCCCGCTGGAGGGGATACATTCCTCATGGGCGAGGCTATACAAAATTTTTAATGTAAGTCTTGATCTTAGTATAAAATATAAAGAATAAATAAAATATGAATAATCCCGGCCTCGGTGAGTTACTCCAGCCCTGACATTCTCCGCTGGGTGCATTTCAGCGTGCAGAGGGAAGTTTATCCTTACCCCTCGCTCCTCCAGGCTCATCCCTTCACTACAGTAATCACCAAGGCTTCTTTTTCAGTCCAAAGACAGCGATGAATAATGCCATTTCAGTCATGGCTGGGAGCGCGCTGTGGGAGGGAGGTAGACGTGGAGTCAGGGTCCCTTAAAAAATCCCCCAAACAGCCTCCACCCTCAAAATGCAGGGGAGGACATCAGATGTTGACTTGTTATCTCACACACGGTGAGGGGCACCTCCAGAATTTGAGGGAAACCTTCCGCCCTCCCTTCCCAAATACCTCACCTGCAGAAGACAAAAATATACCCGTACGTGGTACACTCCCGGCGCTCAAATATGAAGAAGGACAGGGCCACCGATGCACTGCAGTGTGCCCCAATGGCTTGGGTACAAGCTAGTCAAGGAAAGTCTTGGGGTTCACAATACTGATCAGTGGGCGCTAAGGCTGATCTCTCTAGATCCTCCCCCTCAGAGCTCGCAGGTCCGCTTCCTGAGCTTCAGCAGGCCAAGTTTTCTTGGGCTGAGAAGAGACTGCACGCTGGAGACCTCGGGCTACCCCATCCCTTTATTAAGCGGCAGCCTGAACTCTCCAGGTGAGGTTACAGCAGGCTCTTAAGCTACCTCCCTAACCACAAAGGTATGCTCACAGCAACTCCAAGCACTCACTCACCTGAATTCCCTTTTACCTCCCTAAGCCAATGTTCATTCCTGATCATAGACCCCCACTTCTGCTGTCTCTTCCTTACATAACCCTGTATCACAGTACTTCCTGAGCTGCATTACAGAGGCTGGTCTGAATGTCTCTCCCTCTTCAAGGCAGCAACTCCCATTGCTGGATCTCCAGTATCTGGGGTGCAGCAGAGGTTTAACACATATTTAAAAACTGTATTAAATCCTTCGCACTGCCCAGGACTTAATTGCTGCAGCAGCAAAGCCTGTTTAGGAGGCTGGGAGTGAGGTGTGCGGCGGTATCATGAAAGTTGTGCAGGTGGAAAGGATACAGATGAGGCTCTGGGTGCTGTTGAACATGGAAACTCCTGAGAAGAAGCCAGCTAACTCCACTGCAAAGAGGCCCAGGGTGACAGAGAGCGCTGCCACCAGCTGGATATCCTGCTTCTCGTACTCCTCGGGGGTGAAGGTGAGGGGCAGGCAGGCCTGGATGTTGCTGTCCTAGGAAGGCGGGAAACGAGAAAGAAAAGTGTTAAAGCGGGGTGGGCTGCAGGCTGCAGGCGGCAAGGGATGGGGACCTGAGCATGTACATCTTCAAAGTCCCGTCTAGACGTGGCAAGAGAACGTCAATAGGTCTTACCCGCGACCAGAACAAAGTGATAACGATCACCAGATGTGCTAAGAGCGTCAGGAAGCGAGAAGGCACCAGTCCTGAGATCTGCCCCATGACCCCCAGGGGAAGGGTCACCGCCCAGAGCTGTGGCTGTGGTCTCAGAGGTTGGAAGACATAATCGACATAAACTAGGGAAACGCTCTGGGAGAGTGGACACAAAGCCCACACAGCTCACTCCACCTCCTTCCCGCCTGCGCGGACACTTCCCAGTTGCCGTAGCAACTGCACAGCAGGCGCCGAGCCAGCCGCTAGAAATATCGCGAGAGCAGCTAGTTCTCGTGCCGCACGGACTTCGTGGAGAACGGGGAACCTGATGGTGGTGAGCTGGAGCGGCTGGAGCGTTGGTCCTCCCGCGCCCAGCCGTGGGCCTGGGCCTGTGCACTGTGGCGTGGCCCCGCTCCCCCGAACCTAGCCCAGCATGTCACCTCGTCCTCCCCAGATGGCTCCGCTGGAAGTGGTCCAGCCCCCAACGACAGCTACGGTGTCCGGGATGACCCATGCGGAGCCTCCTTTCTTCGCCTCTTCAGATTTGAGGCTCTTCTGTGCATGTCAAAATAGAAACCAAGTGTCTAAGTAAAGGCACATGAGAATTTCTTGTAGTACTTTTGCATTTTTTCTCTGTCAAATTGTTTCGAGCAACACATCTTTTTAAAAACAAATACTGTGGGAAGGGAGGCTTAACATAAGGTCGCACAATTTGATGGGTGGAGGGAGGGACTGGTAAAGGAAAGGGGAAAGGTCAGGTGTGAAAAACAATGTATATGAATTTTATATGTAAACCAGTATAAACATTCTTTTAAAACCCAAATAACTGTGCATACCGACTCCCAAAAAGGTGTTGGGTTGGTTTTTGTTTACTGTTTTTTTAAATTTATATGAATTGTTTTCTAAATTTTGTTTTGGAATTATGGTAAACATTTACGTGTTTCCTATATGAAATCTCTTTAAAAAAAAATACCATGTGTGACCATGAGCCTCTCACCAAGCCAGACAATACAGAAATTTGGTTATCAATGTTAATCGTAAAATAATAGCTTGTGACATACATAGTTAGTTGTACATTGCTTAAAAGGAATATTTCTTACATGTTGTTGTTATGGGCCATTGAGTCACTTGCTACTTATAGCACCCTATGTACAATAACTCTGAACTCGGCTCTATCCTGAGCCAGTATCAATGTCTCTAACACACCTACCCCCATTATCCCAGTCATTGAGTCAATCCATCTCATGCAGGGTCTTCCTCTATTGTGCCCTCCCAAGCATGATGTCCCTCTGCAAGTACTGGTCCCTCCTTACAACATGCCCAAAGTATGTCAGACGAAGTTTCAAAATCCTTGCCTCTCAATCTCTTCACCATCTACCATGATCCTGCCAACTGGCCCCACTGGGGAGAATCTTTGATGATGATATGAGTTTCAATCCATACTTAAGGCTGCAGTCCTTGACCTTCTGCAGCAAATACCTAGGAATACCAAAAATATTTCCTATAATCTTGCTATCGATGAATTCTATGTAACTGAGCAGAAGCCTTTTTTATGTTTTTTTCTCCTTTTTGTTTAATTACTACTTAACTCTAAAAAAATGCTGATGTAGTTTCACAAATACTACTTACCATATATTATACCTGAAACACCAGATAATTTGACAAAAAAAGCAGTGACTATAAAAGCAGCAGCAATGAAAATACCATGTGCAGATAAAAACATGATTCCAAGTGTCATTTTAACTGGGTAATATTAATAATTCTGACCAGAACACATTAGAAATCTCAAAAATTAGTGTAGATTTTTAGTTGTACATGTGGATACATGTAAGCCTTGTTTGTATATTGACAAGAAAGCAAAAGACATACTTGTTAGCACTAATTTAAGGGATTTTTTTTTCGTGGTTGGGAAGAAAATTATTTGTCCTAAGTCATGGAAAATAGGAGAGCTGTGATCACAGCACTTTTGACTCAAATATTTTTTAATCAATTCTTTTTATTTTATTATTTGTGTGTGTGTGTGTGTGTACCGTCAAATCGGATCTGACTGGTACAGGAAGAGATTTGACTCAAATCTTGCAGGGGTATTTTTACTAAAAAATTTCTGTGCTCACTTCGACAACACTATACTAAAATTGGAACAATACAGAGAAGATTAGCATGGTCCCAGTGTGAGGATGACATGCAAGTTCATGATGCATTCCTTATTTTAATAAATAAAATTTCTGCTGAAATTGTACAAATGTTGACAGTCATTTTGGCCTTCTATCCTCACTCAGCATGGTACACAAACACCTCCATCTTCTCCACTGTGTTTAGAGAAGTGAGGCTTCCATTCCAGTCCCCTCCATCTTAAAAGCAGCTGATAGATTTGTGACCACACAAAGGCGTACTATATATACTTTGAATCCAGCTTGCATTTCCAATACTTCCTTGTTAACATATTGCTCCAGTCATTGTAAAATTATCTTTGTTGTTGTTGTGTATCATCGACTCAGATACCCCTCCAGTGGGTTTTCAGAGGCAGTTCATTGAGTGGGAGGAGATTGCCCATATCTTTAGCAAAATTTTATTTGTGTGTGTGACAATAATATTGTTTTATAATTTCCACATTATGTTGGATCACCTTTCACCTTTATTTAAAAGGGAAACAAATATGGATCTTTTCCATTCACTTAACTGGGTGGCTGTCTTCCAAATTTCCTGGCATGAATTCATGAATGTGTCAACTGGTATTCTGTCTCTTCGTGGAACCTCGTTTTTTGCCAGTGCCTTTAAGTGCTGCTTGGACTTCTTCTTTCAGTATCATAAGTCCTTGAGCTTATGCTACTTCCTGAATGGTTGAACCTCAGATACTAGTTCTTTTTGGTACATAGTTCTATGTATTCCTTCCATCTCCTTTGATGCTTCTTGTTAGGAAACATCAAATCCATTCTGATACATACATTAGCAACCTTGTGTACAACAAAACACTTTCCAGTCCTGCACCATCCTCACAAGCCCTTCTGTTCTTAAGACTATGTGTTGTAGCCTCTTCGTCTTATTGAAAGTCTTCATTTTCACTAACCCTCTCCAAACATAATGTCTTTTTCCAAGGATTGAGATGTTGTAGATTCTGCTATCTAATTAATGTGCCCACAGAGTCTCTTTACTGTGCCCATAGAACTTATTTCGCCTGTAGACACTTTCACTATTGCAACTCAACATTAGAACTATGATTTTCTTCAGTTCTTTGAGCTTGAGAAATACAAAGAGTGTTCTTTAATTTTTTAATCCCAAGTCTTTGCGTATTTTATTATAATAAGCATTCAAAGTACAAAAGAGTAAAGAAAGCATTTTGAGGACTAAGGATGTCTAACCCAAGCCCTGGTTTTTTTAATCACCTCATTAACATGTCAAAGTTAAATGATGACTAAGGAAGAACTGTGGCCTTTGAATTACGATATTGGCAAAGAAAATTGAATTTATTATGAATCACCCAAAGAACAACAAATCTATCTTGGAAGAAGTGCAGCCAGAATGGTCCTTAGAAGCCAGAATGGAGAGCTGCGTCTCACATACTTTTGACAAGTTATCAGGAAGGACCAGTCCTTAGAGCAAAATATCTTGCTTAGTAGAGAGTCCATGAAAAAGGGGAAGATCTACAACTAGACAGACTGACGTGGTGACTGCAATAATGGTCCCCAGGCACAATAGCAATTGTGAGGATGCTACAGGACCAGGCAGTATTTTGTTCTGTTTTATGTGGAGACACCAGGACAGCCAATTTGATAAACTGGAACAGCAACTATATATCATCTACAGACATAAACACACATATTCTTGAAACTGTCTCCTCTCTCATTGTTGTCTAGACAGAACTGACTCATAGCTGACCCTGTAGTGGGTTTCCATGGCTGTAAATAAATCAGAATTAGCTTGCTTATTAGAAAGCTCCAGCTCAGCTGCTGATGGATTCCAACTACCAGAAATTCTTTTAGGTTAACAGTACAATTCTTTAGAAACTATACCACCACAGTGCCCTGTTGTTGAAAATAGTAATTTTTACTTAACTCATACTACTCTTGAAAACTTTTTATCCATTACCTGGTCTGCTCTTACCTCCAAAACGTAAGTGTAATGTGAGTAATCTTCATTTCACATAACAAAGGTCCTGAGAGGTTAAGCAACCTTCCAAAGTAAGAGCTAGTAAGTGGCTGAGATTGAAATTCTTTTAGCTCAAAGCTCATTGTCTGAATAATAAATTACATCAACAGGGAAAAAAAACACCCAGGAATGAACTGTCAAGAAATTATGAGAGGAAGTAAAGAAAATATTTCAAGAAGAAAGATAATTAACTGCATGATTTCTTTTATTAGTATTATGATTTTTTTTGTAAACACAAGAATGTTTATTGTGGCATTGTTTTAATTTTTTTCCCCTTTTTTATTATTATTATTATTAAATTTTATTAGTTTCAATGAACATTCACAGGGATTCTGGGCTTTCACTCCTTCATTGCCGCACCATTCTCTCCACCCTCCTCCCCAGTTTGTTCTTCTTCCCTGCCATCCGAATGTCTGTTTTAATTGTCCAATTGCCACA